CGAAACAATAGAAACCGAGCGACCTGCGTTCTTGAAAATCGAGTCTTATCGCCCTTGCGTTTCCGAGCAAAAAAACGTTGAGGCCAAAAACGACCGATTTTCGCCCAATCTTCTATGAATTTTTCTTACTATAGCTAATTCAGTCCAGCGGTTAGATAGGGTATTTATTAGAGACGCCTGGAGAACCAAAATTTAGGACGTGAATCGCTGCGGCGACGAAAAATCAAGCGAAAATAGCCAAGGGGGTGAGGGACTGCATTTGAAAAACATATTTTATATATAGGGTATATAATAATACAGTAGTCACACAATGAATATAATAAGGCAGTTCATATTTGTCTCAGTGAATCATTAATTGTAAATCACCTGCACAAAATACTTGGGTAAAAGCCAGCTAAGATTTTCTGTTACTAGTATCTTGCATGTTTTACAAATCTATTCACATCTAAATACAACACTTTTTTTCTGAGATGAGGCATTTGTTTTTATACTAAAATATCTGAATTGCTTTGAATAAAGCTGGGAATTACATTTGTACGTCTCTTAAAATAATTAAACAAATTATGCACCAATGTTTTTGCAAGATACATCAATCAAGGACATTTGGTAGACTGCTTTCCCACTGCCGTTTCAGTCTTAAACTTGTTTGTATTCAAAATTAATTATAAAAATGCATATTCATATTGAAACAAACTATGACAAAGGGAGTAATATACAACAAAGGGCAAGGTCACAAGAGCTCAACTATGTTTAATAAGTTCAAATGACCTTATATGGTTATTAAATATGTTGGTCAGATCATGAACCAATGTTTTCAATAAAGAACAGGTTTGCAAATAGTGCTCCAGATATAATAGATATGCATTTTTAAATAGGTCACATATTTTTATCAAAAATGTGCAATGCTTTCAATATAACACTGTAAATGTCTCTGCAATAGTGCTCCAGGTATGAATGATCCATATGAATATTCTGGTAACCACTGCCTTCACTACGTGCAGGGGATAATAATGAATCCCCTACAGTGTTATATTGGATCAAAATAAGGCACTAGACGTATTGTGTTTGGATTCGTCCAATATGGCAATGCAAGAGAATTATTATTGTTGAAATAACAGGGCAAGATGTAATCAAGCCCAAGATTCAAGCTCATTGTTTAATGAACAACCCCGTTATCACGCAATAATTGGCACTGCGCAGTCTTTTATGTCAATTGTAATATGCGGTTATTACGAGGATACCTCAAAGTATGCACGAAGACAGTACAGCAGAAGTATCAACCACCATGCAGCAGAGGTCGATGCGACGCCGTACATATTTGGAATTCGCATTTCCTTATATGGTAGGAAGAAAATACCAGCAAAATTACAGCACCCTGTAACTGTTGCGGTGACAGATGTACCGGTATAATAGTACGATTTATTGTTGAAAAATTGAATACACATACATTGAAAGCTTGAGAAGAAAAAATGTGCAACATGGTTAGGGTGTTGTGGACATGTATTTTAGTTATGCATTGAAGTTCATGAGTAAACAACATGGCTTCATTTACAGATAAGTTCAACACTAAAATGACTGTCATAACAACTTCAATAGAATCACTAAACAAATGTGTGTACAAATGTATCCTAAGAGGTATGATGTATGCATCAAAGTTTTATTCAAAAGAATGCATAATTAATTCCAGCTAAAATAAAGTATTTCACAGTACCCTATATCTAGAATTTTATCAATGACTTGACTGTTCTAATTAGCATCATACATTATCAGAGCTTTGTGACATACAGTGAAAACACTAAGATAATAATGAATATTAATGGCATTCTTGACAATCAGGTCAACTCAAAAATTTAATATGCACTACCGGTAATTATCACTAAACATAGCAGATTTGCATACAACATATTTGCATATATGAATATGATATACAAATTACAAGCTGATTAACACAGATATGTTCAAGTCATCTAGTTACTTGACCAGTATAATACACTGTTTCAGGTCTTGACTCTGAATAAAATGTTTGGTTAATTACATTAAAATATGCACGAATTGTGTTAAAAAAGTACAAATTAATCAAGGCATTAAATTAAAAATAACTTCATGAACTGACTAGAAACTTTGTGTTCAATTACTGGAGAAATAAATACCGTACTGGACCTCGTTAGCACCCATGCCCGGTCAAGCGCCCACCCCCACTTTTGTGCAATTTTTATATTCAAGGTCACATTCGGCAAAGCGCCCACACTTTCAAAATACCGCTAATTTAAAACTTGGTCTTTGGTCATTGCTTAATGAATACTGATAATCGTTTTTATATGATACAGCATGGATATCAACCGCCGAGCATATGTTGTGAATCCGTAGACCACGGTAACCGTGCATAAACTACGCTACGACAATGACCTGTTAATAAATGTAAAATGCGGTAAATATTTCATGCCATATTCTGTTTAGCTATCTAAATTGATGGTTACCAGTTTTTTGAAGAAAAAAAACCATGTCATTTATTCGCCGAAATCAATTCCAAAAGATTATACTTCAACAATGACAATTCACTGACGCATTGCGTTACCAGAAAGTCTTCAGGAATTTTCGTCCTTCACTATTCTCAATTTACATAAATGAATTCGCCAAAACTGGGGGTAATGATTGGAACACAATTAATACCTGGTCTATTCTAGGCAGATGACATAATCCTCATAACAAATAACGTAGTTGAACTTCAAAATATGTTAGATATTGCATCAACATTTGCAGGGCAATGGAAATTAAGCTTTAATAAATCTAAATCCCAGATAATGTATTTTGGAAAGAAGCTACATAAAAAAGAAACAATTTGGAAATTAGGAAATTTGACATTTGAAGAAACTAAAACATACAAATATACTCAGGTATCAGTATTTCAAAATCATTGAAAGATCATTCACATTTTATGGAAACTTGTAAAAAAAGCAATGAAAATATTTGCATACAGTAAATCAATCATAAGTCAACATAACAATCACAATATGTTTGAATGTGGTGATTTCCTGTGGCAAAATATAATAATGCCATCAATTAACTATGGATCTAGTGTATGGCTGTCAGAAAGTACAGTGAATAAAAACAAACTTAAAAGCATCCAGTATCAATTTGTTAAGTTTCTCTTTAAAGTTCATAGGAATGTAGCATGCCCAGCAATATTGGGAGATTTAGGATGGCAAGACATCAACTTTATTCACGATAAATCACGAATACAGTATTTGGACGGATTACAAAAGATGAATGATACCAGGTGGACCAAAATAGTTTTCTCAGAACTACTTGAATCATATCAGAACAAGGCTAAACTTGATTGGAACTGGCAAAAATATATCAACAATATCCTAATTCAAAATGGTATGGATCATGTTTATGGCCTAAAAAGCCCACAGAATGTTAGATGGATTAAAAGTTTTTATAAAATTAGTGAATAAATAAAAAAAGGCGTTTTGGTTAAACTATTCAAGATATGAAATTCTTAAAGCACTATGGTTGGATTAAACACAACAATAAAAAAGAAAATTATATAAAGGATCCGCTTGATCATCATGGCATCTCCCTCCTCTTTAAGGTGAGATCAAACGCAATAGATTTGGAAGGGAATAAAACAGGATAGGAAAATTATAAAGGTAATGGGGTATGTAAGCTTTGTAATGATGGAAAGGAGGATGTTTATCACTTTTTATGTCTTTGCAAATCAACTAAGCACTTGAGAAGTAAATTCTATTCAGCACTGACCAATACAACAATACAATAGTGGAAAGTGGTGGAGAACCAACTATTGTACATAGATTTTTATCAGGTGGAATCAATTTCAAATTTAATTTTTTCTTCAGTGATGCTTATTGGTCAATCAATAAAGATTTGGGAAATAATACATCAAACGAAATCCGAAACTTTCTCACTCGCCTATGGAAATTCAGAAACGAGAGACTGAATGATTTAATTGTATGAATGCTTTTTATAGATTGTTTTTTTTTTTTCCTTTTTCGTCTTGTTGTTGACTAATATATTGCTTTTTAAGCCGTTTCAAAGGCTAATAAAATATTATTATTTTCCAGAAGAATTGCATCAGTACAACACAGCATTCTGATTAGTTAATAAAGGAATTGACTCATTAGGTCAGCGGACGTTATACTGCAGGTCAAATCATGCAAATACATCATGGCAGAAAGTGCTTTTCACTTCCGCAATTTCACTACTGTAACGTTACCTTGCACAACATAGTTCGCAATGAAATTGTTCATCTTTACATTTCCACAGAAGTCAGACATTATTAATATATAGTTTGGTTGTTACCTTTAGTAGTATGTTCTCAGGTAAAACTGTGTGCAGTAAGATGATTGACCACAAAATGGAAGGCTGTCTGTGGCAGTGGTATTATTGTGTAAAGGAAGATTGCTTGAAATCAAGATCAAGAGAACATAGAATTGATCAAACACTTTTCCATCAGTTTTTGTTCTCATTACAATCTAAATTCAGTCTATGATGAAGAAAAAACAGCACAATTCATGACAAATTTATCAAAATCAGTGTAAGTGTAATAACAAATAATTGCATACATCAGTAATAAACTGAGTGAAGACAAATTTACACAAACATAATTTGTCAAGATAAATCCAAAAAAAAGGTTTAAAAGGACATTAAAATCAAAGATAGCTTTGAAAGCTGAGAGAATTAAAAGGCATATGACATAAAATATTTAAAAATGACTAAAATTTCAAGAAGCCTGGAGACTTAATATATGTCCGCTATTTGAGATGCTGAAAACAATGTAATCCACAATATTAAAGATTCCATACCACACTAGACTACACTGTGCTATATATTGTGACCTACTTTGTCAGCTGCTTATGTAGTGTTTGTGGATTATTTGTTTTGTGTTCTTGGACTTTTAAAACTCCATTTCACAACTTGGATACGTATAGTTTGAACGTGATGTTATCGCTACGCATACTATACACAGAAATACAAACTCAAACGATAAATTTACCAGAGTTTGGTATTTCTGCTTGAATATTTTCATCTTTTTGATGGCCATATTTGTTTTCTTCCACACTGACTTGTATATCTCCATGACTACTGCTATATGAATGTCCTTCTCTGCTATTACCCAACTCATTTGATATGCTATAAAATGGTGCAGAGGTTTCTTCAGTTGGTGAGCCCTCCCCATACCCACTTTCATCACTAAATTGTCTATTCAATGGTTTTTCATCATCTGCTGATTTGTGTTGTGATAATCTAGTTCCTGGTTGTACTAATTGTCCAAATGTCGGCCTCCATTTAGAACTGGTTGGCAACTGGTACAATAAATTTTTCCAAAACTTATCTTGTTTTCTTCTAACATTTGGTTCCCATTTTAGACAGCGTGTGACACCAATGACATGCTTCAACGTTTTCATGTGGTCCATGTTAATATTTGCAGGAAGTTTTTCCAACTTAATGATTACTATACGAGTTTGAAGTTTGAGAGATTCTTCTAATGCAATTTGAAACTCGTATGGTCGCCAGTGAGTTTCTTTTACATATTCAGGACTTTCTGATACTATTTGATCACAATCAGATGGAACTTGTATATAATCAGGAGTTAACACTAGAAGAAAACACCTGCTGTCTTTCACCGATTCCACAATATTATCACACGTTGCTGAAATGGAAATCAAATATTGAAATCAATTCAACAAACTCATGAAGACAAATTATATTGTAACACAACTTCAATGGAGATGCCCTTAAATAAACAAATAATCCAGTGAAACAATTATAGCATATTAGTTTGGATTCATCTATAACAATAGTTCATTATGATAATTTCATAGTCAACAAGCCATGCATGACAGTCCCCGTTAGTTATCAAATTTAAGATATATAGTTTTGTTTATAGTAATATAGCTGGAATATAACCATGTCAGAATATGATTTTTTAACATTAAAATGATTGACATTTGTATCTGATCGTCAAACAGTAATTGTCCATATTGAAAGAGATATTGCTCTGGAACAGCATTCAAAATCAGCCATTTTGAAATGCTTGATTTTGATG